AACCAAACCTTAAATCCTAATCCTAAACCTTAAATCCTAATCCTAAATTAAACTCTAATCCAAATCCTAAATCCTAACCCTAAATCAAACACTAATCCTAACCTTAAATTATAATTCTAAATCAAACCCCAATCTAAATCTTAAACCCTAAATCCTAAATTAAATCCTAATCCAAATCTTAATCAAATCTTAAACCAAATCCTAAACCAAATCCTAACCAAATCCTAACCAAACTCTAAACCAAATCCTAGTAATTCCTATAATAGATTTAAACCTCAATAACTAATGAATAAATAGTTGATCTTAATTCAAATTTTACACACTTCTTAAAAACTAAGTTCCAAATAAGTGCAAAAAAAAATTGAAAAGGATCGGAGTTACCAAATTGATGATAACCTCAAAAATGTGCTCAAGTATTGGCTGGCCTCTTTCTCCAATTTTAATACCAATCTTCCAGAGCCAATATCTCTCTTTTGCATCATTCGATTGATTTTAAAATTCTCAAACACATAGAAAAACAAGTCTAATATCCTCTCACGTAAGTTTCACTCCAATCTAATTAGTAGATTGCAAGAAATCTTAAAAACCTCCATTGGACCTAAAATTCTACTTTCTGAGACCTTGACCCACTTAAACTTCAATATTCCTCAATTCAACTGTTAGATCAAGCTCAAATTCATGACACATATTAAACACAACTATAACCATAAATCTACAAAATTTAACTTGTAGATCTATTACAAAACTCTTGAAATCATCCAAAACATAAATCCTATTTTATTTCATAAAATCCAAATCATCCGAAACAAACCTTGACTTTGCAAAGCTCTTACAAAGTCATAACAACTCCAAATCACCCAAAATCAATGCCCATAGAAACCTTATCTAAAGTAAGTAGAAGTTTTTTTTTTTTTTTTTTTTAAAAGGGCAACATTACTACTAAAAGTTTTACTACCTTCCTATCTTTTATCCATATTTTTCTATCTTTTCTTTTAACTTGGCTCTTCTATAATAAGATCCATATTATCATCTTTCACCATATAGTCATGTTACAACATGACAACGTGCAACCAAGTTATTGGAGATTTTCTATTCTGATGTTTGTGGACATATGAGATTGCCATCAATAGGAGGTACAAGGTACTTTGTTACATTCATTGATCATTTTTCAAAGAAAGTTTGGATTTTCATCCTCAAAGCAAAGAGTGAGTGTTTCACAAGGTTTAAGGATTTTAAGGCACTTGTGGAGAAGCAATGTGAATGCTAAATCAAGGTATTACGTATGGACAATGGAGATGAGTATATGTCAAAGCAATTCAATGATTTCTTAAAGATGCATGGTATTGCAAGACAAACCTCTACTCCTTATACTCCACAACAAAATGGAGTTGTTGAAAGATCAAATTGGACCATTGTGAAGATGGCAAGGAGTATGCTTCATGCACAACACCTTGGACATGAGTTTTGGGCAGAAGCAGTGGTGAATGCAGTGTACACAAGAAATAGGTATCCTACAAGTGCACTTACATCAATAATGCTGGAAGAAGCTTGGAATGGGAAAAAACCTTGTATTTTTCATATGAGAACCTTTGGATGCATAGCATATGCAAAAGATACCAGATTTTATGAGATCAAAATTTGATGCAAAAGGTACAAAATGTGTATTTGTTGGATATTATGAAGGTACAAAGGCTTATAGGCTCATGTGTTTGGAGACTAAAAAGATCATCAAAATTCGTGATGTTGAGTTTTTGGAGCACAAGAGTGCTTGTGAGCACTTAGAGATGTATCCAAGTGAGAGTAATGGTGTGTTTATGGACACATCTTCAAATTCAACAAAGAAAGAAAAGACAAAGTCAATGATGGATGTAAAGATGGAAATGAAGATGAAGAGGCAAAGAAGGTGGACAAGAAGGCCTCTACAATTGCTAAGACTAGCAATGAAGAGCATGAAGATGTTGATGATGGTAATGAGGATTATGAACCTTTGAGTGAGAAAAGACTATCTTCAAAAGAAAAGAAGGTTCGAGGTGACCATGGAGTGCAACAAGTCGAGTCTTCTTCAAATAAAAGGAGATATCCTTTGAAAGATAGAAAACAATAAGGTGAATGGTGGAAGGACCACATTTTTCTCAAGTAAATAAAGAACATGCCAATGTTGCACTTCTTGCTGATCTGTTGAGTTTATGTGATGCAATGAAGTCCACGGATGCTATGAAATGGGAGAATGCTATGGAAGAAGAGTATAAATCACTCATGGATAATGGAACATGGGAATTGACTTAACTTCTACCAAATTGAGCTTTAAGTGGTTGTAAGAGGGTGTCTAGAACAAAGAGGGATGCAATGGGCAATATTGTGAGGTATAAGATAAGATTAGTTGCCAAAGGCTACTCACAAGTTACTGGTGTTGATTTCAATGAGACATTTGCTCCCATGGCCAAATTCACCACCATTAGAACCATTGTGGAAATTGAGGTAGCAATGAATTTGGAGATGCACCAAATGGATGTGAAGACAGCTTTATTCAATAGAAAATTAGAAGAAGACATCTACATGGATCAACCTCAAGGATTTGTTGAAGAAGACAAACAAGACCTTGTGTATAAGTTGAAGAAATCCTTGTATGGGCTCAAGCAATCATCAAGGGCATGGTACTAATGTATTGACACTTTCTTTGTGAATGAAGGATTTGTGATGAGTGAGGTTGATTATTCTATATATGTTATGCAATCAAAAGCCTTCTTGCTGATTGTTATTCTTTATGTTGATGATTTATTCATCTTGACCAATATTTTGAAAAAGATGGATTGGTTGAAGGCAAAGCTAGCAAAAGAATTTGAAATGAGTGATTTGGAAGAAGTCGACTATTGCTTAGGAGTGGAGTTTGTAAGAGATTGAGCTAAGAAGATCATTACATTGAGCCAAAAGAAGTACATTGAAGAAGTATTAAAACGGTTCAACATGGAGGAGTGTAAGTCCATTGGAACACCTTCAAAGGCAAATTTGAAGTTAATGAAGCTCATGGATGAGGAATTTGTTGAAGTTGAAGAAGAAATGAAAGATGTTCCATATAAGGCAGCTGTAGACTCACTTATGTATGCAATGGTTGATACAAGGATAGATCTTGCATATGCGGTGAGTGTTGTGAGTCAACACATGTCAAAGGTTGGACCAATTCATTGGGCAACCATTAAGAGGATCTTGAGGTACTTAAAAGGCCTTGGAAGTGATAGTATTACATTGCATGGATATTGTGATGCAGATTGGGCTCGAGATGCAAATGATAGAAGATCAATAACGGGATATGGATTCTTTGTTGGAGTCGAAGCAATTTCATGGAATTGCAAGAGAAAACCAATAATTGCAAGGTCTACAATGGAGGCAGAATACATGGCAGCAAGTCATGGTATAATGGAGGCAATATAGCTAAGACAAGTTTTAGAAGACATTGGACTTGTGCAATTGGAAGCAACTCCAATGAAGTGTGACAATCAAAGTTGTCTTACTTTTGCCAAGAATCCAAAACATCATTTAAGGACAAAGTTTATTGATATTCAACATCACTTCATACGGGAGAAGATTGAGATGGGAGTAATTGATATAAAGTATTGTGCAAAGAAAGACATGCTTACTGATTTGCTCACAAAAGTATTGGTGAAAGATAGACATTATAAATTGACAAAGGGTTTAGATTTATTAGCCTTTGACCAATAGCAAAGTGGGAGTGTTAAAGTAAATGGAAGATAAGTTAGAAGGTAAAAGATATTATCTTAGATAAGTTGCTAATGGTCAAAGGGCAGCAAAAAGATGAAAGAAAGTTACCAAAGTAGTAGCTAGGATTATATGTAGCAGCTAGGGTTATAGGTGCCGGCTAAGGTTATAGGTGGGGGCTAGGATTTAAAGTGGTAGCTAGGTTAAGAGGAATCTAAGATTTAGTTGAATGAAAGTAAGATGAATGCTAGCCAAAATAGATGTAACCTCTACCTATAAGTAAGGGATGTTGGAAGTAAGAGGCATCTCATTCCACACTTCTCTTGTGTCTAACCTTGCTATTTTCTACTTACTTGTGTCTTGCTTATTGTGTTTTTTCAATAGGAAATATTGACAATTTTTGTGACTGGAATAAAAATATTAAAAAGACTAAACAAATATGGCGGATTGTAGTAGCAGTAGCAATACCCTATATATATATATATATATATATAATAGTTGGCTGCCTCAATATCAAATAGTTCGAGAAAAGTAGAGACCAAGAGAAAAGTAGAGACCAATATTTGATATTGATTTGATCAGGTTTTCTACAGATAAAAAGGTCGTTTCTTCAGCTCATCTTGAGCTAATTACATTCTTCCAAAAATATCAGTCTCAGTCGCTGCAACGTGTTTTCTCACCATGCAAGCAAGCAGCATCCATAGTTTCATTTTTTTTTATTTCATTGAAGCATTTGCAGTCCATGAGTAGCGACTAGATGGTTTACATCAACATGACTGTTCAATCGGATCTGCACATACGCAAATTACGCACAAGTTCCGTACATCTCTAAAGTCGAATCCGATCTTCACTTATACCGCCATCAGTGCCGTAAAAAGACTGGCCAGTTTAATACCGCAAGCTGGACAAAGAATCACCCGGGTTCGAATCATTCTTGCTAAACAATGAACACAGTAGGATGCTTATTCTATTTGATGCAGATTCCGCGCCAATCGATTCCAAAGGCGCCGCCGTGGAGGTAGCCTACGAAGATGCCCCAGTCGCAAGTCCAGCGCCTTTCCAAGCAGACGTCATCAGAGTCTTTTACCATTCATTTTTAGAGTGCTTTTGAAATAAGCACCCATGATATTCTTAGCATATGTATGCCTTAGATATGTATCGTACTTAAATTTCTTCACTCATGAGCTACGTACTGCTCTACACAACCCTAAGTCTGGTTTTGGGGAGCTATCTTCCAAATCGCAGTAAGCGACGCTCCTCCGCCAAGCATGCACCAATGCTTTGAATTGTAGTTTAAGTCCAAGAATATCTGATTGATTACTAGTGTCAAGGTGACCAATAACGACCGTTGAAGTAAATGTACAATGCGAGGTATCAATCACGCTAGCCAAGTCAAGCCAATATGCTTACAGACTCACCCAAATGATTTTGGGTGAAAGGATAATGAATCCTAGATTCCTAACCTACGGTCTAACAAATAAATGATTATCTAAGACTTCCGAAAATCTCCATTAGCAGAGGGGAAATCTGCGCTTTGACCCATAGGAGGTCTGTTGAATTGGTGAGCTTGGTTCACAAAATCGCCGGCTCTGGTGGAAGGCCTGTTGTTCCTGGAAAACTCCCCCCTCCTGCGCAATGGCCTGGGCTGTTGTATAGAGCGATGGTTGTGCTGAAGAATGCTATCTGTAGTTGCACTATTCAATGAAGGATTCTTCGGCACAGTCCTCTCGAAATTCAGTGACTGCGACAGAATATCCTTTCTAGAAGTAGACCTCTCCTGGGTAATGTAATGAGCGAGAAAGTCATCTTCCTTAGTGGAGGATTCGAGATTCGACTGCCGAGTCTCAGCACTCCGTCGGGGTCTATCGTGATGGTACGAAGAGATCGTGAAGTCTTCATGTCTGCGCGATGGTCTGCCCAGATTGTAAGACTGGTGCATGAAATTCCCTGGGGCCTTCTGGGAGCCCCCGCCAGACTTGTACGCTGATGAAAGAATGTCACTTGCTTTGCGCGAGTCGCGATCCATATTGTAAGAATCAGACATGAAGACTCCAGGCGAGTGCCGTGTCGACGTTCTTGTAGGCATAAACGAAGAGGAGGCATCACTTCTGCGGGAAGCTGGCTTGTGAGACGGTTGTGGGCCGTTTTCGCCACTATTCTGCGATCTATCGCCTCGACTGGATGGTTTTCGGGAAGTTGCTTGTGAAGCATTAGGACTCACGCTTACCATTGCACTCCGAGAGGAATCTCGAGATTCCCGCTTCGGTAACGAAGTTCGCTTCTTGACTTTTGATTGCACCTCGTCATCTGATGCCCGCTGCTTGGGATTGCTATGAGCTCGAACCTTAGCTTGGGCCGACTTAGTTGCTGCCATGTAACCGCTTCTCCTGACAGCAGGAAAATGCAAGTTCTCGCTATGAGAGGGCGTGTTGGAATTAGAGCGTGGGAGCGAAGAGGCATCTGATTCGGCTTGGCCATTGCATCCCCTCAACATTTTCCGTTGCTGCCGCTGGAGCTGTATCAAGGTGGAGGTAATGGGGGATGTGTGCTTACTGTTGTTATCAAAACTGAGGTGCAATGCTTGTGAATGTGTTGGTGAGTCGTCCATGCCACTCTGCGAAGTCCGGTTATCTTGGTTCTCGGCAGCAGCTTTGGTGGGCAACTGACCCTGGGCATCTTTCAGAGGGCGGTTCTCCCAAGGACGAGCTGCCATCCAACGCTCCAACCAGCTCCAACCCCAATGGGGTTTATCATCTTCATTGTTGAAGTATACCTGTGAGGATCCTCCGTGACTTTCTGGTCTCCACTGATCACACAAGCAAGAAAAAAGCTGGTGCCGTCAGGCAAAATTATCTGAGATATGCGTCCCTTCCTCAACTCATTGACAAGCGCCCGAAGTACGAGACCATGAGAAGGAATTCGCCGTAGAACTTGAACAAGGAAAAACCTGTACAAGTATACACTGATTTCGTTCCTTGTACGTGAAAAAGAAGTATCTACTATGTCCAGCACTCCAGAGCTTAAATAACAGCTACACTGAAACATGAGATTTCAGAGACTGATGAGAAAAATTGTAAGGTTCTCGAAATGAGGACTAAACTGACCCAAAATTGACAGGACTGGTATGTGTTGAGTACCTGTTGGCTATTGGCATATGCTCGGGCTCTTTCGCGCTTCATAAGTCCCTCCTGTTTTTGTTGAAGCTTTGCTTGGAGGTCTTGCTTAGTTCGAGAGCTAGCGCACCACCCGAGCTGCAGGGACGAACACTTATGTGTGAGAAGCCAACCTGAGAGGGTAACTACTAACAAACTGACCTAGGGCGGAGTTGGAACTCCACGTATTCGCTTGTTCTATGAGTTTACATATGCTAAATAACCAGTGGAAGAGGTTCTAACACATGAGATTAACTTGCTAGTTGGTATAAGAATCGACGATTGAATTGGATTCAACAGGAATATGGTCATTGCACCTCGGATTCACGGAGTTGGGCCTCGATGAGCCTTCGATGGCTTATGGTGCGCTGCACTGCGAGACCTTGCTGAGACATGCGGACTCGACGGGCACGGACGCGAGCTTGGACCCTTACTAAAGCTTGCATGCATCGCAGGGTTATTGCTGCCTGCCTCCTCACTGTGTGGCCCCGCACCAGAGCTTGCAAGCGTACCAATCCTTTCAATGCTCGCAGAGCTCTCCTTGCCTGCAAAAAGAGCAGATTGTTTTTTTTGAAAAACACGATCTACCGTTGAATCCAATTCAATCGTCGATTCAATCCATATGCAGAATGACCATCCATGGTTCACGGATTTGTACACTTTCCTGGAAAAGTTATCTTCATGGAATACTTTTTTGTGCAGGATGATTGCATCCTTCAAAAAGAAAGATGAAAGGAAAGAAAATAAAAAAGAAAAAGAAAAAATGCAGGCGAAGGGAGGTTGAGGGTCGAACCAAAAATCCTCGGAAGGCGGTTTGGATACGAATTGCAGCCCATTCTGCCACCACAATCGAGTGCGAATTGGTAGATGGACTTTCAGTTCCCACTGTCTCATCAATCATCACCTGCACCTGCTCCATCTTGAACTCCTGGCTGTAGCTTGACATGACCGGCCCAGTCGACATGACATCCTGGTCCGGCTCTTGGTCGTTCTCTGAGGCATGTCTCCAAAGCGTCCATCTCTTGTGAATCTTTTCATTAGACTTCTCTCCTTGAAGTTTCTTCGGAGGGACCTGTGAGTTCTACCCAACCAAACACTTTTCTGTTAGCAGCTCTTCGACAGAACAAAGAAAACATATTCATCGATCTTAGAACGCTTCAACCCATTTCCCTCAGACCTCAAACACTAAGCATAGATCCAGAACGTGTTAAATGTAATAGAGGACAACACAGATTGGAAGTTGAAGTCAGAATCTAGTCACTAGAAACTGTTAATCTAAGTCCACACGTAAACCAGTGAACCGATTAGAATTTGGAATTTGCGTGGATCAGGGCCGTGGAGTAACAAGAGTTTCTAGCGGAAGGGAAACTTAGAGTAGTGCAATGCTCACTTACGACAATATCTTCTCTGTCAGACTGAACAGACCGTTCTGAAGGGGCCCTCTCGGAAACACCTTTCTCGGAGGCTGTAGTGGACAATGCTTTCGTTTCTGGTTGTGCTTTCGTGATAACAGGTGCAGCTGAAACTGCTCCACTAGCACCTCCTCCGCGTTTCCCGCTAATGAGGGACTTGAAGAATTTACTAGATGCACCCATACTAATCCAGCTTCGTCCAGATTAGATTGACGTAGCTTACAGACATGAGCTACAGACGATATCTTCTGCGAGGTACTCACGAGTAAAGTCCGGGTCTGCACTCCGTGCTGCGAGAGGCAACCGCGGCACATGTACCTCAAGTCCGGCACTTCCCAACAGCAGGAACAATCCGCACACAGCGGGGCACTGATTGGAGAATGCAGCGGCCGACAACAGAACGGAATTCAAATCTGTGTTAATATCGTTACAGTGCGGATCAAAAGAGGACTGCACGAACAGATACCCCTGCAACGCCTTAACAATTCTAGACACATTGTAGGTTCTGGGGCCCAGAGTGGAGCCTGCACGACCTAAAACCAGGAACTAAACCTCCACCACTTTTCAAAACCAATGGAGGTAGGGACTGCCTGGTGCATGAACGATCGAATGCTAGTGTTTAATACCAGCGAAGTTTTAATCTTGGATAGATGAAGCAACAGGAGGTACGGAATGGATACAGAGAGTGAGACAGGGAGGGTGGAAGAGGGGGCTAAACCAAGATCGGCAGAAGCGAGTGGTGTGAGGGCGAGGAACGTAGACGACGACGACGACGACGACGACGGAGGAGCGTAGGAGGTGGGGTGAGGGGGACACAGCGCGCCGCAAGGACTGTAGCTCGAGAGGCAGGCAGCAAAGGTGGAGAGAGTTTGGGCTGGTCTAAGCTTAGAAATGCCTCGCCAACAAAGAGGAGCGTCTGTGGTGGTAACTAAGGTGCAGCGCTTGCACCCATTACCGTTCCACTGCCCTGCAATATGTTTCTTTGTCATGCATTTTGCAATTCCATTTCCCTGTCCGTGCGTTCCGGGGTGGCTGATCCTTTTTCTATTCCTGCCGTTTCTCTCGTCCTCTCACTCTCCTGCCCACCTTCCGTCTATCCAGGGTCTTGTTCCACCACCCAAAGCTGTGCTCACAACGCTCATCCATTCCTAGCCATGGTTGCGCAGCAGCAGGGCACTCTTCATCAAAGCTACTTCGCTGAACCAAGTGGCCCTTTTGTTCATTTCAGTGTCACTTGCGCAGGCTCTCGCTCCACTCGTCGTGACCGGAACGGTTGATCTTCGTTCACGTTTATCTGGGGCTCGTGTGGCAATCCTCCTTGGGTGGGGCTCCCTGCCACGTCACCCTCTATTGCCGTGTCATCTTATCGTACTGGTCCCGCGGGTCGGTCATCGGAGCCCGCTGGGTTTGACGATGCTGATGGAGGTGCCGGGTGTGCCACTGGACAAGGTGCTTGAGTTTTATTTTGTGTTTTATTTACTCGTATGTGGTTTAGCAGTCGCATTGGAATAACTTTTCTTTTGAGATAATAGCTTTTCCCACGCCTTGATACTCTTGTCAGAGAGCAGGCACAGGAGGACCTATTTAAACTCTATGTGTATATATATATATATATATATGAATGAGACAAAAAAAATTACATGTTAGCAATGTCAGTAGGGATTGCTAAGCCCAATGTTTTTTTTTTTTTTTTTTTTTTTTTTTGAACAGAGTGGGACTGGCGGCAACTTCTTTTATAGCCGCAACAAAGATTGAGGGAGATTTAACAAGGGAGTTGGATTTATCAAAGTCAAGTTTATCAACAAAGCCTCACAAAGGTTTGTGAGATTGTCAAGCCCTTGTTTTGATTACATCCTCAAGTTACTGCAACTCTGTGATTTCAGCCATGACTTCAAACTCCTTGATGTTTGACTTGTTGTTGTCATCTTCTTCTTCATCATTTGTTGTGTCATTTTCCTCTTCTAACATCAGACTAACCATAAAATTGATTATGTACAAAAGATCAATGGTGGACTTTTTTTCTAAAGAGTTTCAACTCAATGGAAAAAAATCCACTCCTTTTTGGTGCCACCATATCTTGCTTGCATGGATTCTATCGACGTTTTTATAAGCTTTTCCAAATAAGTTTGAAATCAAATACAAATGATAGGCTCTCAGAAGTCTTGAGAATATAAGTACAATATTGCAAAATTCCTTTTCACATGCTTTCACTATTATAACTATTGAGAAGACTAAAGCCACAAAGGAGAAAGAAGAAATGATGTTAATAGTGGATGAAAATGGATTGATGTTTGAAAAGAAGGAGTGAGTGACAAAAAGGGAAGAAAGCAAAAAGAAGATAGACTTGATGAGAGGTAATTTTTGTAGAAACAAAACAAAGAAAAAATTGACAAAAATATTCTTTAGTTCTTTTTAGTTTAAAAAAACAAAATTTTGAGGCAATAGTTATATTTTTTGAACTTCTTTCTCTTTGTCAAGTGCTTCTTAGTACATCTTATGAAACATGACCAATCTATCTCAAGTGTCTAAGATCCTTTTAATCCTTAGTAACTTAAAACCTCATTAGAAGATAGGACAGGCTGAATCAGAATAAAACTAAATAGAATTAAACAAAATAAGACATGAAAGCCAAAACTAAGCAAACGAAAAAAAAAATTAGAATAGATTTGAACAGAAAGATGAAAAACCAAATTTTACTAAAAAAAAAGATTAAAAGCCATATCTGATTAGATGTCCCAAAAGGCTATGGCTAGTCCTATTTATACCTTCTCTTATTACCTTGGACCTTCTAGAATGTTCCTAGGTAGTGGACTCCACATAGATAATTCTCCTTTAATTTCTTTTTTTGAAGGTTCTATCATTGGCCCCACCTAAATAATTTCTTTAAGCCTTTTTGGGAAGGTTCTATGGTAGACCTTATTTAAATAACTGCCCTAAATTCTTTCTAGAATGTTTTATGGTAGCTCCTACTTGGTCCACTAATCTAATCCCAAATTCTACAAACTTCCATAGGTCTAACTATCCTTACAATTATCTTATTTATACCATATTACAATTAATCTTCCTCTATTAATGTGGAACATCTTTGTTTTGCTCCTAATGGTATCTCCAAATTGTCTCTTGGCAATGGCTGAGGTTTTGTGTAGGTTTTCATGTTGCATCGTGAATGGAATAACCTTTCCAAAGAACTTTGTATTGAAGTTATGAACTGTGAGTCATCAAATTGACTCACTAGTTGTTTTAAGACAAAAGAATGCATGTAGAGTGCCAAAATTACAATTTTTAGGTGAAGATGTACTAAAAGGATGTTAAATGAAGGAGAATAATATTAATAATGAATTTAAGGAGTCTTAGTAAGTCTTAGAGGTAATTATCTTCGTTGGTTTAGTATTTTTTATTTATTATTGAATATTAAGGAATATTTACTAAGATCAATATTTATATTGACCTTCTATCTATACATATTATTTATAAGAAAAACTATAAATTTTAGTTAGTAGTTAAAAGAAATATGAAAAAGAACCTCATATCATTTTAGTTGGTTATATAGAAAGTAGGATTTATAGTAGATTTAAATTTATTTTATTATAATAAATATCACCAAGATAAGAAATAATAGTCTTAAACTGATATTAGTATTACAAAACTATTATAGGAATCTTTAGATTTTTTTAGGAATTTTTAGAGCAATTTTCAAGACTTTGGTAAAAATGAGTTTTACCACCTTGGAAGCTATTATGAAGAAATGGAGTAAGATTTGAAGGCCACAAGAAGTTCATAGGTTAATTAAGTATTTTTAAATATCATGGTGAAGTCAAAAATATAAAATTATTGATTTTACTAGTAGAAAGTAGGAGGACCAGTAACTAGTCTAGTCCTTGTAAGAAGGAATGTGCACAAGTTCCATATGGATTGTAGTACCTTGAAGGTAGTTAGGAAGATAAGACTAAGGCCTCATGGACTCTCTAAAAAATCTATATACACTACTTGTGAGCCTTGGTGAGGCTTGAATTCCTGATCTCTTAAGCAAGTTATCCTTGAAATAAAATTATTTACTTAATCATTCATTTATTTACTTGTTATTTTTCAAACCTTCATAACTTACTCATAGTAACTCGGATTTACATGTTTCTTACACCATTGAAAAGATTTAAAAAATTAATTTTTTAAAAATATATTTTTAAATTTAAATTTTTATTTTTTATTAGGTGAAAACTTAGTGAACAGATTGTGACTAGTTTAGTAGTATACAATTATTTGATTGCTTTTATTCCACTTGTTTTGTATTTTGTATTTTTTGTTCTTGTTTTTGCTACTTCTACTTCATATCACCCATTACAAGCAATTCTTAATTGAGGCCATCTTGTAATTGAGTTGAAGAGTGAATTTTACACTCATATAGATGTTCACTGCCACAACAAAGGTAGCAATGCTCCAAAATGCTGTCCACTTCATATTCTTGTTGGTCATCAATTACAATTGCTAGTGGTGGTGGTTGGTATCAATCCAAAAAGCGCTTTGGCTTGATATGAAATTCCTTCAATTGTAAAATATGGAAGACTCAATAGACACGAATATGTAGTGGGAGCTTGAGGCGATATGTGACATCAAAAATCACTGCAAAAATACACAAAGGTCCAAGCTATTAAGGTGTTAGTTTACGAAATTGAGTTAATATAGCCAATGGGAAGTTGGCATTGAAGAGTAACACTTGATTATCCTTTTGGAAGGTCTTATGTTATCGATGGTTATCAAGATACTACTTTTATTAATTCTGTATAATAAGAATGCAATGCTGAGTTTCTTATAAGGTTATTGTAAGCTGTTATGTAAATTCCTCTATTGTCAGGTTGTTGCTATCAATGGAATGATGGAGAGTTGTTAGCATAATTGGATGTTGACTAATATTAAGAAAAAATGAAGAATGATCAGTATTTGCTTAAATACTACCATTATAAGCAAACTCGAAGGGCATTAAATATTCATCCCAATATGATGAACCACTATAAATGCTCATAGCATATCTTTCAAGGTCTGATTTGCATGCTCTGTTTGCTCATTTATTTGACAATGGAAGGTTGTAGATTTGACAAGTCATGTATCTAGTAAACACGTAATGAGATCCATAGTCATTTACTTCCAATATGTCGTAGATATTGGAATTGGCTACAATAATCTAAGAGTTGCTATTTTACATGCTTTATTACATTAACATGACTTAGAAGAGCATATAAAGGCTTAAACTTCATAATCTAAACTTGTCCAAAACTATGTCATTGAGATTTATGTTAAAATCTTTTCTCATCTCTAATGTCTAAATATTGAGATGTCATGTCCCTTTGTCAAAGACATACAATATGAAATTGTAGAAGATTCTAGAAGATTCTAGAGAAGCTTTGTAATTTGTAGAAGCTACTTGAGAAGTTTTCAAGCTCGTAGAAGCTGCTTGAGAAGCTTCCTAGTTTGTGGAAGCTACTTGAGAAGCTTCCTAACTTATAGTATATATAGGAGCCGTGACTGAGGAGATCCTCAATCTTGACAATACACTTCTTGGAGCTCTAGCTCACCTCTATAGTGTTGTTATTCTACTCATCTGATTAATCTAGTTCTTGTTGATTCTTCTTGAATTTCTTGTTTAGATTTTCAGTCAGTATTCTAAATTCATGATAATTTGTCGAGAATACACATGTCTTTCATATCAGAGCTAGTTCCTTCTTGTTAGAATGTGGATTATCCCTCTGCTTGAAGGTGTTGGCATTTTAGAGATTGCGGATTACCCTCTTTTAAATTGATATTTTTTCTATTATAATATTGGAGTCTTATCTTTCTTGGAGAGAGTAGATTACCTCTCTTCTTGAAGGTTTTAAG